GGGGCAGAGGAGACCCTGCAAGAGCCAGAGGTGCTGCAGGTCAAGATTAAAGTGCTCTGCATGCCATTAACTGTCAAAACTATGACTGGCTTCGCTCAGTGCAGTCAGGTGGCTCAGAGGTTACAGCACTAACGGCTGCAGTTTCATTCCAGGTGCTTAAAGTGCAGCCTTGACATTAGGGATGTGATTAAAAGGCAGTATTGGGGCTGAGACCTGGCAGAGGAGCTCAGCAGGCAGGGTTAAATCCACAGCTTCCCCTGGCATTGGACACCTCAGGGGCTGGAAGAGACCGCCAAGCATCAGCTGAGCCGGCCCAGCTTTTGGGCCTGGAATGCCATCTTGTGATGGCAGTGGGGAAGTGGAAATGTCAGGGGCCTTTCTGAGGAGTGAGAGGAGATCACTGAATCATAGAATCACAGAGTCAGAGAATCACAGAATGGGTTGGAAGGGACCTTAAAGTCCATCCAGTCCACCCCCTGCCATGGGCAGGGACACCTTCCACCAGCCCAGGTTGCTTCAAGCCCCTTCCAGCCTGGCCTGGAACACTTCCAGGGATCCAGGGGCAGCCACAGCTTCTCTGCCCAACCTGTGCCAGGGCCTCCCCACCCTCACAGCCAACAATTCCTTCCCAATATCCCATCTAGCCCTGCCCTCTGGCAGTTTGAAGCCATTCCCCCTTGTCCTGTCCCTCCAGGCCCTTGTCAATAGTCTCTCTCCATCTTTCCTGTCGGCTCCTTCAGGCACTGGGAGGCCACAATTTGGTCACACCGGAGCCTTCTCCTCTCCAGGCTGAACAATCCCAGCTGTCCCAGCCTTTCCTCCCAGCAGAGCTGCTCCATGCCTCTGATTATCTTGATGTCTTCCTCTGGACTCTCTCCAACAGCTCCACATCCACCCTGAATGTGATGTATGGGTGTGGTTTGGATGGACAGACAGGCCAGAGCACCCCAGTTCAACAAGTCAGGGGCTAAGAGAAAATTTGTCTCCAATTGAACACTCCTACTCTTGCTTGGAGAGAGTGCAAATGATTCATCCCATCAACGTTTCTCTCTCTAGCTGAATTACCTGGCTATAAAGGCAGTGTCTTCCAGGCTGAAGAATCTGACCTTGGGTGCTCAGGGCTAATTTCCCTTCTCAGCATGCAGGGACAGAGTTCCACCTGTGTCATGAGCTGCAGGGCAAGGACTTCTGCTTCAAAGTGCCATATGCAAGCAGTAAAAGTACTTTTCTTCCCAGGTTGAAGCTGGAGACTTCAGCAGGATCACCTCTGCTGTGAATATCCACATCCTCAATGCTGAGGTGAACACACAGGGACATGGAGAACCAGCGTGGCAAACACAGGAGCTGTGGAGCTGGGGAAACTGAACTCCAGTGCCAGCTAACGGGCCAGGGAGCTGGTTCTCTGCTCACCCCTGACAGGTCCCACTTCAGGCACATGGGGGAGGAGTGACAGTTCAGAATCAGCTGCCAGCAGCAATAAACCCTGCCCTGAAACAAGCAGAAAAAGAGTTGTAGTGCTGCCAAGCCTTGCTGGGAGGGAGATGAGCTATACCTTCCCTGGGCTCTGCTGGCCCCCATTTCGGTGCCCGTGTGTCCCAGCTCAGGCACAGCAGGGTAACCACGGCACCTTTCACCGGGATCCCTTCACAGGATGTTTTTCACTGGCATCCCTCCCCCACGCTCCTCCCGTGCTTAGGCTCTCAGAGCTCTGGTGAGCTCAGCTGGAGCTGTCTCTGGCCTCGGGCAATCATCCACTCCAGCTCTGTGTTATTCAAATGCTTCTCTGGGTCTGTTTTCAGCCCAAGGCAGGCAGCTGTTCTGCCTGGATGTGGGGGTGCTCATGCAGGCCGTGCCATGCAGGGGGTTCCTCCCTCCCACACCTTGGTCCTGCCTCGTACCAGGGAGCACCCAGGACATGGCTGTGTGTGGGGACAGAGCCTGGTGCTGAGCAGTGCAAGGAGCTCGGTGCTTTCCCTCTCACTGGTGAACCTGGGAGGGACTCGTTCCCCAGATATGCCCAGTCCAGCAGATGAAAAGCTGTCTGCTGGGGGGACAGGTAAAAGCAGACTCAGAGCACTTCAGGATCTTGTTCCTGAAGGTCTCTCTGCCTGTGGCTGGGGCCACGTGCCCACAGACAGGGATGGGTGATGACTCTGCCAAGACCTTAAGCCACAGCTCTGGTTTGGAAGCTGTGCAACTCATTAGCACAGCACAGGGCCCAAATTAATGTGCTTTGTCTCTTTTAGTAAGACATTTTCTGCAGGATCAGGGAGATACCTCAAAAGCTTCCTGAATGCCAAATACCAGAACTCAGTGACTCCTGATGCCAGGACCAGCCTCTCACTTCCCAGCACAGATTTCCCTGCATGTGCACAGCTTTCCCTGGCTGTTGGCCTTGGAGCACGTTGTGAGAGTGGCTTAAACAAAGGCCTGCACTTGCTTGGCCTACTGTTATCTTGGCTTGGTGGAAGATAAACACATCCTCCTTTTCTCCTGCAAGCATTTTCGAGGGGACTGAAGGGACTGAGAAACTTTGTTCCAAGGCAGATTAGAGATATGAGTTACCACAAAACAGAAGCACAGCCAGTGCTCGCCAGAACTCCTCCAGTCTAGACACAGCCTCCCTTGAGCTCCCTGCATCCCAGCACAGCCCTACAGCTTGTGTTCAAAGCAACTCAGCAGGCTCCAGAAGCTGGGTAACCCCTGTTGAGTGAATGCTCAGTTACAGAACAAAGGAAGGATCACATCTGAGCGATTTTGCTCGCATAAATTAGCAGGATGGGTTAAATCAGGACAAAACCACTGTCTTCTGGCACAGTGCATCCACTCAAGGGACTTGCACTAGCTGTAATGTTTCCAAAGTATGTGGAAGCTACAAGCCTGGGGTGGGACATGCCCTGGTGTAACCGATGTCTGGAGCTCCTGTGGCACAAGAGTGAGGATTTACTGCCATCTCAGCTCCAAACTGCCCCATGTCTCTGCCCCCTTCCAGCTGTGGCACTGCAGGGTCACTACCATGATCCTTCCATACTGATCAGACTTTGGCTCAATATTTGTGCCACACCCTCAGTTCCCAGAGCAAACAAAAGTGTGACACTTTAGGAAGGAGAAAATTTAGGAAATCTCTGGAGGAAAACCTCTGTGGATGTGCAGCATCAGCTGGACCTGTTTGCTGTGGTCCCTGCTGCTGCCTGTACTGTGGTGGTTGCCTCCAGACCAACAGCCAAGCAAGTTTGGGCATTAGGTGGGCTCTGGTGAGAAGCCCTCGGTGTCTGTCACAGGCAGGGACTGAGATGGTGACACACTGCAGGTGTCTATGCACCATGAGCCACACGCTCATGCTCAACACCCGCCTGGGTGGGCACGGCCTCGTCTCTGCCTTGTCCTCTCTTTCAGCAGGATTAGCCCTCTGAGGTACTGCACCTGGGTCTGGGCAACCCCAGGCACAGGTACAGACGGGGAGAAGAATCCATTGACAGCAGCTCTGCAAGGAAGGGCTTGGGGGTTCTCGTGGATGGAAAGCTGGACATGAGCCAACAGTGTGAGCTGACACTGAGCCCAGAAACTCCCCATGTGCTGGGCTGCATCCAAAGAGGAGTGGGCAGCAGGTCAGGGGGGATTCTGCCCCTCTGCTCTGCCCTTGTGAGACCCCACCTGCAGAGCTGCCTCCAGGGATCCAACAGGAGAAGGACATGGAGCTGCTGGAGCAAGTCCAGAGGAGGCCCTGGAGATGCTGCCAGGGCTGGATCCCTCTGCTCTGGAGCCAGGCTGGGAGAGCTGGGGGGGCTCACCTGGAGAAGAGAAGGATCCAGGGAGACCTGAGAGCCCCTTGCAGGGCATAAAGGGGCTCCAGAAGAGCTGCAGAGGGACTGGGGATAAAGGATGGAAGGACAGGACAAGGGGGAATGGCTTCCCACTGCCAGAGTAGGTTTAGATTCGATCTGGGGAAGAAGTTGTTCCCTGTGAGGGTGGGCAGGCCCTGGCACAGGTTACCCAGAGAAGCTGTGGCTGCTCCTGGATCCCTGGAAGTGTCCAAGGCCAGGTTGGAGCAACCTGGGCTAGTGGAAGGTGGCCCTGCCCGTGGCAGAGGGTGGGACGAGCTGATCCTTAAACCCCTCGCAGTCGAACCCGTTCTATGACTGCGATTACCGAGGGTTTTTCCACCGCCTACCGCGCGGTCCCGCCCCGGGGGGAGCGGCTGAGGCGAGCGGGGCGGTGCCTGCGGAACCACCTCGGCCACGCGGCCGGGCCCGGCCTTTCTCTGAGCCCGCCGCCTTGTGAGGGAAGGGCAGAGAGCCGCGGCCGTGAGGGAGAGCCGCGGCCGTGAGGGGAGGGCCCTGGGCCGGGCCGGGCCTCCCTCGGGCCGCCGCCGTGAGGGGCCGCCATGAGGTAACAGCGGTGATGGGAAGGGAGGGCGCCGGGCTCGCCGCAGCCACCGTGAGGGGACAGGAGCGGGGGAGGGAAGGCATCGGCACCGGGGCTGCAGACCCAGCGGTTCCTCGCCGCGCTCCGGGAACGGAGAGCGCCACCTCAATTACTCCTTTTTTTTTTTTTTTTTTTTTTTTTTCTTCCCTCTAATTTACACGTTTTTACCGGCCGGAAGGTGCTGGGTCCACGGGTGCCCCGGCACAGGGGATGTTCTTGTCCGCTGTGCCGTCCGGCACTAATTCCTCGTGCTCATGATTTGATATCTTTTTATCCCTCCCACACGGCAGGTCCCAACTGTTGAATTCTCTGAATACAGATTTAATTGAATGTTTTTAGCGACATTTCTCTTGTGCTCTCTTTAGGGCATCAGCTGATGGGCACGTGTGAGGGGATCGCCCCCGGAGCTGAGGGTGGCCGAGGAGCGTGCGGGGTCACAAACCTCGGGTGACTGCGCTGAGGGGGATCACAAACCTCGGGTGACTGCGCTGAGGGGGATCACAAACCTCGGGTGACTGCGCTGAGGGGGATCACAAACCTCGGGTGACTGCGCTGAGGGGGATCACAGACCTCGGGTGACTGTGCTGAGGGGGAACAGCCGCGTGAGGCACCTCCAGGACACCGGTGCTGTGGAGAGGAGATGTAAAGGGTCAAGCGGTGCATGAGACACACACAGATCCCGGAAGCATCTCAAGCAGCGTGGATGAGGTTGTGACCATGAGCCAGCGAGGGGAGATGGGCAAACACTCTGTTCTGTTGGTAGTAAACTAAACGTCCTCTTCTGTTTGTGGTCGAGGTCCTGTGCCAGCCTCAGGTCCTGAGGGTGGAAAGAATAACCTGGTTTACCCAGCAATAGGTTTACCTAACCTACATTATCTATTCTCCTTGCTGGAGGAAGCCCTGATGAGAGGAGGCATCACCAAAGGGTTGTACTTTGTGCCTCCACTTCCTTCAGTCCTTTAATGCCTCAGTTTTGAGTTGTTTCTCCCAGTGGTAGTCAGCTGCCCATGGCTGCTCGGTGCCTGTGCCAGTGTTATGCTGCTGGGAGAGAAAGGTGCTGTCGAGTCCTCCTGGCACCACTGGTGCCGTCCTGGTGCTTGGTGGTGCTGGGTTTTGGCAGTGCTCTGCATGCCTGAGAGTGGAGTAACTCCTGCTTGTGGAGTTAGAGCCTAGATTGGATGCAGACAACACACAGAAAATTGATAAATCTATTGCAGACACTTTGTTCATTGTATATCTTTTACATAAAAATGAAGGTCAGCTATTTAACTACTCAGTGTAAAGGTTGAGTTTGAGGTCTTTAGGGATCCTCCTATTAACTGTCTTTGCTGTTTTTTTAATTACAGGCAAGTGTCCTGGAGCTTGCTGGAGCAGCAGAAGTGGCCAGAAGAAAGAAGCTCTTGGTGCTGCTCTGAAAATCCCTGTTTAGAAAGGATTGAGAAGATGGAAACTTGGAAGCCCCCAATTAAAACGGGGCTATAAGAAAATGATTTATTTTCAGGATCTGGATGTAGGAATTTCAAACATCAGAGGTGGTTTGGGGCAGGCTGTAACAAGAATTATGTGTACAGTTCTTTAATTATTAATCCCTTTTCACTGCTTGTTTAAAATATATTTATATGTGACCTCAATTAAACTTATTAGTATTTAAACTTGCTCAGTTTGGTTTCATTATCTTATAAGGCTTTGAAAGAGGCCACAGTGCAGCACCAACTCCCCTCCCTGGGCCTGGGGGAGGTGAAGCCCACAAAAACCAGCTGGAAAAGGCTGATGAATATGTAAAATCCATGGAAACAGGTGGGGAGGGGCAAGATTGTTATCAGGGATTCAGGCAAAACTGTTATTTAAATGCAAAAGTCTGAGTATATTGCTCCCTCCAAAATGGACATGACAAATTGGATCTCATTTCCATTTGGATTCCATGCAGTCTGTATTTGTGAAATAATCCAGACTTTTGAAGTGTTTTAGGCTAAAACTTTAGTTTTTAAGAAATAGTTCAGTGGGCTTTGGTCAGATCACAGTTACCCTACTGCAGATGCTGCTGTGGCTGCAGTGCTGTCTGTATCCCAGTAAAACTTGGAAGCAGGGACACAGGCTGCTGTGGAACAATGTGCTGCTCCAGCCTCAGGGAATTCAGGTTGTTGAGGCTGAAGCTCATGACCTGAGCCTGTTGAACCACATCAGGCTGGTTCCACAGGCACTGCTGGTTTATATCAAGTAGGTGCCTCTGTGCTCTTTGGAAAAATGAATTGCAGTGCAGATTGTTGTTTTTTTTCTAGGCTCTCCTAATTTTTAAATCTCCCTGTTTACCCCTGAGCCTTTCTGCCATCTCAATATCCTGATCTTAATACACAGTTTTGATACTGCACATGGAAATAGTTGTTAAAATATTTTTTTTTTTGCTGCTTGTTTGGGGGGAAAAAGCTTTTTCTTACTTGAAACCTATGACATCCACGAATGTCTGTTTCTATGGGAACAAATCCTACCTGTAATTCCCCATGGGTTTCCATTGTGCTTGGCCAGATGGGTGCCCCAGGGCTGGGTGCCTGCCTGCTGACAGCCAAGGAGCACTCACTGCATCAGGGGGCTTTGCTGCTGGACCAGGTAATTCCAAAAGTGGCAAAAAATGGGGAATATGGGCCCTGTCAGATACATAAAGCAATTGTTTTATGGACAACAAATACATGCTGACAGGCCTATTTCCTCAAAAAAAACATGTCTCTGCAATAAAGCTCTATGATATTCACCTTGGCTGAACGTAGGACTCAAAGCCTGGTTGTGCTGTACAAAAGGGCATGAGGAAAGGATGGAGGAAGTGTTGGCAGTGGTGAATATCCCACCAGAGCAGTTGGGAAGGGCTGCAGGGCTCTGCTCAGTGAATGCCTCACGCATCACCAGAGCTCTGCTGAGGGCCTGTAGCTCTTGGTCTTGCTTTTTCCCCAGTCACAGAATGGTTGGGTTGGAAGGAACCTTAAAGCTCATCCAGTCCTACCCCCTGCCATGGGCAGGGACACCTTCCACCAGCCCAGGTTGCTCCAAGCCCCGTCCAACCTGGCCTTGGACACTTCCAGGGATCCAGGGGCAGCCACAGCTTCTCTGGGCAACCTGTGCCAGGGCCTCCCCACCTTCACAGCCAACAATTCCTTCCCAATATCCCATCTAGCCCTGCCCTCTGGCAGTTTGAAGCCATTCCCCCTTGTCCTGTCCCTCCAGGCCCTTGTCAAGAGTCTCTCTCCATCTTTCCTGTCGGCTCCTTCAGGCACTGGGAGGCCACAATCAGGTCACCCCAAAGCTTCTCCTCTCCAGGCTGAGCAATCCCAGCTGTCCCAGCCTTTCCTCCCAGCAGAGCTGCTCCAGCCTC